ATTACGACTCCAGGAAATCAGAAAAGCAGTCTTCATATATCATACAGGTATAAAGCAGCCTTCCTTAGTTTATGCAACATTTGCAAGGACAGGATTGTGAGAGTGAGGGCTGAAAAGATTATGGAGATGATACTGATTAAAAGCATGAGACTCTTAATCTCAGGGTTGTGGGTTCGAGCCCCAGGTTGGGGGAAAGAGTTCTGCATTGCAAGGGGTTGGACTGGATGACCCTCGTGGTCCCTCCCAATGTTACAATTCTACAATACTTCAGTCACCTTGTTATCTGGGAAGCAGTCGAAACTGGTTATTCCCAGTGAAAACAAGTGGCTGGGGAAACTCAGTCAGATGGGCGGGGTATAAATAAACTATTATTATTATTATTATTATTATTATTATTATTATTATTATATATGTACATTGTGCTAGTTGACTGGATATTACTCTCAGAGTACAAGGTGTCTATAAGAGTCTCTAAGATCCCATTCTATCTGTCAGAATGGCTACTATTAGGTTGCACCATTTCACGCTTGTGTCTCATGTATGGAGCATCCTACATGGAGTCCCAGCCAGGAAGCTCCTTCTCATTATTCTGTTTTGCGCTTCTGATCTCTAGCCTTGATTCTGGCTTCCTGTGCAGGGAGATGTCAAAAACTCTCTTATGCGTGTCAAACCAGAAGAACTTGCTGGCAATTCCATTACCCAGGAAGGTTTGGGTGGTAGTAGTGGTGTATGGGCAGAGCCTTTTCTGTGGTAACTTCCTGCCTGTGAAGTGACTTCTCCTCTGAAGTGGAGGATTTTTCTTTCATCAACATTTGAAGAAGCATCTAATTAACCCAAGCCTTGGGGAGGGATTAACCTTTTAACCATTCACTTTTTTTTTTACACATCCTTTTACTGCTGTGGATGTTCAGTCTTTTATCATTGTAGCATTTTATAGTGTCTGTGTTAAGATATTATGTGACATATTTGTTGCCCTGAAAACATATGATGAAGGGAATAAAATAAAATAAAATAGGTAACCACGACATGATTCTCTTCCATTAGGTGAGGGATAGAGGTCTGGTTTAACTATTAGCTAGACTCTCAGTTTCCATGCTCAACCACAAAACTCACTGGGTGATTTTCAACCAGTCACTCTATTTTAGCCTTATCTTCACCATTAAGTTGTCATTATGAGGACGAAGTTGGAGAAAGAAGTATCCATGTATGTTGGCTGCTCTGAGCCCCTTGGATGACACCATTAATGCCAAGCCAAAACCTTAAGAGAAAAATATTTGAAGAAACTTGAATACATTTGTTAATTTTGAATCATTTGAGGACTTTAGGATTTTTGGACTCTACAATTCTGTGATACTACTTAGGCCTTTGCTTCTATTAGGCTAAGACCCCTCATACCCGTAACCTAAACAACCCAAAAACCTGCTTTATGGAGGCGGATATGCAAGACAGTCTCCCTGGCCAGATTGGGGTTTCTCCTCCCTTAAGATATAGGCTTGGTGGTCTGTGGTGACAGTTAACAGAACAGGGAGTCAGGTGGGCCAGCAGCGATCATGATCTGTGAGAACTCCTTTCAGTTGTTGTCGCCCACCATATTCTTTCTCTTTTTTTAATCAGCAGAAAGAAGGGAAATGAAAATGAAAATTTACCCACCACAGGATATGATGAATACGACAGAAACTGACCCAGGGCAACTCATACTAAGAACATTCCAGAACCAGGCCTGGGCAAATGAGACAGTTGGCATGGCCTTTCTAGAAAATCCATTCACAAGGAAGAGTTTTTATTTTCGTAGATTCAGGCTCTCCCTGAATGCATCAGCAGGAAAGGCAGAAACCAGTTAATTTTCCCCAAGGTAAGCTGATTTGCATGCCAGAATAGTGAGACTGGCACGGCGTGTTCAGATTCTACAGCAACTTTCCCTCCAATAGCTGAAAGGCAGGGAGAAGCTTGGCAAGCGCTGCCTTTTCCCATCACTGAAGTGCTGTGATCTTCCACACCCGGGAAACCTCTCCCTGCCAGCCTCAGACTTCTTGGAAGAATGCAAATGTTACATAAGCACCATAAGCACTAGGCAGGCTTCAGGTTTATGGGGGCTACTTTGGTTTTGACTACACTCCCAAGGCCTATGAACCAGAATCAGGTCCCATAAAGGATCTGGGGAGAGAAGCAAAGATAAAATAGGAGTTCTGAACGCAGAGTCAAGTAGCTTCTGCATCCCATGAGCCTTTCACTCAATGCCTTGCATAACATACTCCTTGCTCAGGGCCAGCCTGCCCATAAGGCAGGTGAGGCGACCGCCTTGGGGCGGGAGAACCAACCTCCAAGGAACGCATTGCCTGCTGCTGCTGTTGTGGTGGTGCCAGCAACAGCTGCAGCCACTCCTTGGCTCCTCTGAAGCTGTCATTTGCTCCCTCCACAGCAGCCTCTTGGTGAGTAGGAGCCTCATTGGCCTCTTCCTACCTGGTTCCCCATCTTGATCCTTATCCAACTCCCCCCCCCTGCCCCAGTTCCTGATGTAGATCTTCCCAGCAGGGTGGGAGACGCCATTTTGTGGTTTGCCTAAGGTGCCAACATGTATTGGACTGCCCCTGTTCTCACTTTCCTATTTTCCACCTACAAGTGCCACTGCTAAGTGTATGCAAAACTGTAGCACCTATGCAGAAGAGATTGGTGTTACGTTTTGCTTAGGGGAATCCCTGGGGTTTGCAGAAGCACAATGAATCTGGGGGAGGGACTCCGAAAACAGTTCGAAAAGGACTGAGCATGCCAGTGGCAGCAGAATGCTGGTTGATGGATTGATTGGGAACCAGGGGAGGGGGATGGAATGGCTGGAATCCCCAACATGGCATGCTGCAACGTTTTGTTGCAGTTCCCACTTGCATAAGTATAAAGAATCTACCTTGGAGTTATTACAGATCAGGGTTTCAGTTGTTGCTATTGTTTACATCAGGCATGGCCAAACTGTTTTGGGACTACAGTTCCCATCATCCCTGACCACTGGTCCTGTTAGCTAGGGATGAGGGGAGTTGTAGTCCCAAAACATCTGGAGGACCAAGTTTGGCCATGCCTGGTTTACATAGTTTGGAGTGAGAAACCCTTGCTGGTCTGCTTTAAGTTATCCAGCAATCTATCTCCTGCCTACAATTACTGTACAGGTTGCTACATGACACTGTGCTACAAAGATCTTGGGAGACAGGAAAAGAGCCCTGTGGCATGGCAACAGCCTTTCCAAGGCTGAAACAAGAAAGATGGCCTTGAAGAGCAATATGCTTGCTAATCCCCAAGAGACCAATGGAGCTGGGAGGGGAGAGTGGTTAAGATAAAAAGGCCATGAGGAAGACCAAAGCTGTAGACACACATTGCCTAAACACAGGGCAGGGTGTGTGTGTGTGTGTGTGTGTGTGTGTGCAAACACGTGTGAGGAAGCAGATAGTAGGATTAAATGGGCGAGATAGAAACAGTCATATCTTTTTAACCTTCATATGCTGCAAGGAACCGATAAGGGTATCCTGAGAACATATCTCCAAATATGGGAATTATACAGTTGGGGAGCCACGATCAAGAAGGCTCTACCACAAATCACTATGGGGTGTGCTGAGGTTAAGGACAGCAGTAACAGTAGGGCCTTCCCCCACAGATGTTAAGAGCATGGGCTGCCACATAAGGGGAGAGGTGCTCCTTCAAGTATCCAGGTCAGAAGGGATTAGTGAGATGGGGTTATTTTGGCATTTCCCTTTCCGTGGTGCATGGGCATTTGGACAGAAAAATTCTAGAACCGGCTGACATAATAAAGGCCAACACATTGCCTGGTCCAGATCTACCTGTTCTTGGAGAACCAACAATATGAGCACTAGCAATATGAAACTGCAGTGCTCTTCAGATTATGCTGTACTGAGACAGAGGCTCAAAGAACTTGTGTATTGCATTCACACAACAAGGCTTTTCTTTATATTACTGTAGCTCCTCACATTCCCCTGAAAACCCTGTTCCTGACACATAGGAGATTCTTTGAAACAGCATGCAGTGCAGCTGGGTGATGAAACCGACACTCCTCCATGAGAGAGCGTATGTGTCTTCTGCTCATTTAAAAGGCACTTGGTATCCAAGCATTTATTATTATTGAAAGGAAAGCTGCTTGAAGACTCAGGTTTTAATTTGCGACTGTTTTTTATAATGTCTTACTGATGTTTTATTATCAATAGAGATTACCAAATGATAAAAAAATAACAACATGAGTGGGAGATGCTTTAGGAAATAAACATCAAGAAAAAATGTTATGAAGAGTGTCCAAATACAGTAAAGGACAAAAAAGTAAATAAAATTGCAGAAGAGTCAGAGAACCAGGTTTTACTTAAGGGTGGTTCATATCACCCCACAGAAAACAGCACTGAGAAGGCACAGCAGGTAGCTGTTAAAAGCAGGTCCTCATAATATCTTCTGACAAGTAAATGTTTTCCTTTGCTTCTAATCATGAGAAGGCAACCACGCAACGTGCAGAGTTTACAGTGTGTGACAAAAACTCATTAGCACAGGGAGAAGTTTCCTGCAACATGGTAGCACAGTGATTGAAGTCTTGAAACAATGCATCTGACACGCTAAATTCATCTGACACGCTAAATGCATCTGACACGCTAAAATCTATGGACATGCTCTAAATGCTTACCTAAACACCCAAAATTCAAGATGGTTATTTTCAGAAGGAAAAACACCTAGGTAGCCTTTCCACGTGATCAGAAAATAAAATGCTTGTATTGGTAATGCCAAGTTAGTACCAGGCTACAATTCACAGTCTTGTGCCCCCCCCACACTTCTCCTTTAAAAACAATCACAGCTAGATAATTAAAAACAGGGTTTATAAATGAAACTAACAGGAGACCCTTGACTGCAGCTGCAATGTCACTGACTGCTAAAAACAGACAGACACACCCCATATCAGTTTACTAATTAGTTGCTGTGTAGGAGGCTTTAAAAATATTACATAATTACAAATAACCACCACATTGTTTCAAGAACCTTTATACATCTTTTAATTAGATTAGCTTTACAAGCAACTTGAGAGCTCTTTCAGTAATGAACACTGCTTTTCAAAAGTTACATGACTTTATAGGAAATCTGCAAATTAATTCTGAATTTCTTTGCCTGCTAGATAAAAGTCTTGTGTTTTACAGCTGGCTAATGTCATGAAATAAAAATAGCATTATGAAGCTTTATCTTTAACCAGGACTAAACACATATACAGGCCATAAGACAGTTTAAAAATAGTCTGAAACAGGTTCCTGCTTGGTAACGCCCAAGGCTGAAGATTTAACTGACATGAACAGCTTCTAAATGGATATTAGAAGACCCAGTTTGGTGACCTTTTGTAAAATAACCAACTGAGAGATTTAAGCACATTTTAAATCTTCCCAACAAGCACAAATGTAAGATGTTGATACTTTGAACAGAGGGACAAACAAACAAAAAATGTAAAGGCTTATTATGTTGTCCATGTCTAACACATTTAACATAATACAAAAGCAGTTAAAAGTTAGAAATGGTGTTTCTTAGGCCTAAAACAGTGCATTGCACTGCAGACCAGACAGTAGAGAAAATTTGCACTCCTTGGTCAGGCTTGCAGAGGCACTTACAGTAGACATGTTTTCTTCGGATTTACCAGGATTAAGAGAAAAACCAAACTGTTAAAAGTTTTGACAGCTAATCGTTTTAAAGGGGGTGGGGGAAACAAAAAAAACCCCAAAGACTTTTGCCAGATGTTCCCTTAGTATGCTATCACAATACTGAATTTCCCACCTTTTGTCAGTTGTCACTAAACGTAATCCTTTTTTTTCATGTTTTACATGAATAGTAAGCTTTTTTTTAATAAAAATTACTGAGCTTTCCATAGAAAAGGTCTCTAATACAAGTACAAACTATACAGATGCTAAAATAGGCAAAGTTGTACATACAGAAATATTTCTGTACACTCACATTGTTTTGGTTAAGTGAGGGAATCAAGGGATAAAATATGGAGCCTTTAAATGGGGAGGCTCCTGTTTGTAAGGCTGCTAGAACTCAGAAGCTTCCCTCCAGGGGGTTACTTTTGAGCACAAACCCATCCCTTCAAAATAAAACATTTCAAAATATCTGGTTGAATTAATTTTATTCTCTATTGCTTCCTCACTTAAAAGTAATTTAGTTTTTCCTTGTCAAAAACATTTTCGTATTGATCAGAGGCCAATGTTATTTTGGGGAGAAAAATTCTCAGCAGTAGGAAAATATTTACATATTAAGCCTGCAGTGATGCACTTCAGTCTTAATGCATTAAATATACCCCTTGATAGTATATAAGGGGATCAAGGGACCCAACTGCAAATGAGGATACTACTGCTTTGGGGGGAAATCTCTGAAGTTTCATGACCTTACCAAAAAACGTAGCAGAAAGTAAGCTTTTGAAAACAAGTCAAGATTGAGATCTCCCATTAAAGTAGTAGAAAGGATGTTGGTACACCTAAAAGCCTAGGAAAGCCCTTATGTTCTAGGGATTTGATACTTATGGGCAGAGTCCACCTGGCACTTCATCTGCACAAGCCCCACTGGAAAAAGCAGGAGCTGCACATGAGTACTGTTGTGTTCTTGAATGATTTTCATTCACATCGAATGGCTCTCATAGATGAAGTCCCCAGCGGAACTGCAGCCACAGTTCTCAACATGAAAAAGACAGTACGGATAACGTCAAGTCCACTTAGTGCTAGCCAGTCACTTAGAAAACCCAAATGACACAGATACAGAAAGCTTGCTCTCTGGATACAACATATAAAACCACAAATTTAAGGAAGTAATTGACAGCAAGATAGGCATCTGTTTCAGTTTTTTAAAAAAAAAAGTTTCAGAGAACACAAACACAATACAGCAGCAATCTTAAAAAAAATATTCAAATTAGTGTAAGATATGAAAATAAAACAATTGGGTTCTTACATGGGAATTAAAGTGCTCCTTTTCAGACTTAAGTGTAAAGACAGAGTGATCATCAGTTACTGGCAATTCTTATTTAAATTAGGTTTTACATGGTAGGAGAACAGTGTGAACAGCAAATTTACAAAAATAGTTAAATGCCATTTTGGAGAAAAATGTTTGCTTTGCTCGATGTTGATCAGCTGTACCTGGTTATACAAAAATTATTTAAAATTCAAAACTTTTACCACATTTTAAAAAAGGGGGGATGATAAATAGCATTGAACTGGATGATTGAATGGCAAAATATGAAGGATGGAAAACTTCTATGTAGGGCACTTCATGTGTAAGCTGTTTTTTTTCTCAATGCTTATCGTCACATAAGCAGTTAACAGGACTAGAGTCACAATCATGTAGTACAATGCATAAGCTATTAGAAATCCATTTGATGAAACACTGAAACCCATAATTCATTTGTTTATTCCAAACGTTGATTTGGCGTTGATTTTCCTTTATCTCATTATTCACATTCAAAAGTTAATAGACAGCGCCTAGGACTGTTGTGGGGAGGGGGAGATGGACCAGGACGTAGCACAGGGAATTACTAGATCAAAGGCTTTATAGAAGGTCTTTCCCATTTGAATCAGGAGGCTTGTTAAGTTCAGTCTCCACACCTTTTTCACCTGTAAGACAAAGGGGGAGTTATTAAAAAAACACAGAAATACTATACCATTACAAGTTAGATATGTAAGGTGGCCAACCACACTCTCTTGAGCATGCGCGCGCGCACACACACATAGGCCACACCATCTCCCTAACTCACACACTCCACATATACACAACTACACATGTGTGCATCTCTCACTCATGCATACATACCTTTCCTGCCTCTCACACATAGACATACACATAACACACAGTATACCCAATGCAAAACTACAAGTATACAAGTATACAACAGAATACCCAAAGCAAAACTACAAGGCTCCTGGAAGTATGGCAAAATCTGCCCCAATGGATGCTCAACCTTTCTGGTGCTAGTCAAATTGATCTGAAGGTAAAAGTAAAGGACCCCTGACAGTAAAGTCTAGTTGCGAACGACTCTGGGGTTGCAGCGCTCATCTTGCTTTACTGGCCGAGGGAGCAGACGTTTGTCCGCAGACAGTTTTTCCGGGTCATGTGACCAGCATGACTAAGCAGCTTCTGGCAAAACCAGAGCAGTGCATGGAAACACCATTTAGCTTCCTGCCGGAGCAGTACCTATTTATCTACTTGCACTTTGACGTGCTTTTGAACTGCTAGGTTGGCAGGAGCTGGGACCAAACAATGGGAGCTCACCCTGTCGCGGGGATTTGAACCACCAACCTTCAGATCAGCAAGCTCAGTGGTTTAGACCTCAGCGTCACCCGCGTCCCTCAAATTGATTTAGGAGAATGCAACACTCTATTAAGCTTGTCAAATATATACATCTTTCCTTTCTCCACATTTTTACATGACAAAAATCCAACAGATCTGTTCTTCAGTTCATTTGTTCTAGATTCTAATTCAACACAATCTTAAATACCACCTCAGACTGTATCATTTGTGCATCAAATTCAAATAATAAAAGAATGTTTAAAGACAGTAATAGTGTTTGCTGCACATTCATGGAAATCCATTCCCCTAATGCATCAAATGTTTTAATAATGTTTTCTAGAAGCTTTCTTGGTTGGGGTGACTTAACCTTATGATTAAGCAGGACTGAAATATTTTTTTCAGTTTGCATAATGTTTCAGTTGGTTATTTTCCCCCTGTGTGGCCTTTTAAACTTGTTGCTAGCCCTGAGCCACTATGGGTGGGGCAAGAAATAAGATGAAATTAAGGCTCTTTCCATTTCACGATACTCAAGATAGTGGTACCTAGGGTTACAGACACTCCAGGTTACAGATGCTTCAGGTTACAGACTCCGCTAACCCAGAAATAGTACCTCGGGTTAAGAACTTTGCTTCAGGATGAGATCAGAAATCGCGCGGTGGCAGCAGCTGGAGGCCCCATTAGCTAAAGTGGTACCTCAGGTTAAGAACAGTTTCAGGTTAAGAACAGACCTCCAGAACGAATTAAGTTAACCCTAGGTACCACTGTATAGGTCTTACTGAAGTTCATTATTAACTACAGCTATAATATCACTGTACAGTAAAACCTTCGCGAACGTCCGCCTTGTCTAGCATCCATTCCAGCAAACCTGAAAGTACCGGAATGGGTTACTTCCAGGTTTGCCGCTCACGCATGCGCAGAAGTGCTAAATTGCGCTTCAGGCATGCGCAGAAGTGCAAACCGCTTTGTGTGCATGCGCGGGACTTTGCCCTGCGTCCTTTTCGGCTAGTGGCTGGGGCTCCGGAACAGATCCCAGCCGCAAAACGAGGTACAACTGTACTCAGAAGCTGCTGTTGTCAGTTACTTTTACAGCTACGCACACTAATATACAGCTGATTTTAGAGAGCACACAAACATAAAAAACAGGGAAACCAATTACCTGTTAAGTATTTTACTTTAGCACGGGCTCTTTCATCTGCATCAAAATACCACACTGTTATTGCGTACCTTTAAAAGATAAAAAGAATGAAATAGTAACACACTATATTAAAAAACAACACATTTTAACACTCTGTTAGATCCCTCCAATTACATGACAGAACCGTATACCTGAGCCACCTAAACAGCAGTGTATACTGTCAACTTATTCTGTGTATATGTAACGTAATAATTTGCAGAACTTAATACAATCTGTAATTTACTACTTTGAGCTGAAAATTCTAATTTCCAAAACAACTCAATTCTTGGCAGACCACTGGCTCAGGCAATTAATATTAACCACAGGAGAAAGGATCTTTACCAAACAAGCAAGCCTCACTGCATTGCAGATTGGGTGTTAAGCTTGGCAGAAGGGGCCCTACTGGTTGTTCCACCACCCTTAGAAGCTCTGGCCCAGCAGAGGGCATTCTCTGTGGAAGCCCTGAAGTGGTGGAACTCCTTCCCCACAGAGGTGCATCTGGCATATTAATTATACAGTTTGTGTTGAATGCTGAAGACACACCTCTTTACCCTGGCCTTTGACACCAGATTAGTATTTGTAGGACCCACCTTATTTCTGTGATTGTTAAGTTGCTTTAAACTGCTTTGAATTGTGTTTTTAAGTGTTGCAACCTGCCCTGGGACCTTAGGGAGAAGGGCAGGCAAATAAGAGCACTAATAATAAATTGGTGGCACTGACAAGCAGGAAACATCCAACTCTAATCATTTTCAGCTTTATTGGAAAAAAATGGTCCTTCAGACTTTACCCAACTAAACAGATGTCTCCTTCCAATGAAAAGCAAATTCATTCTTAAGAAAACAACAGGGCCCCTGCTGGATCAGAGCAAAGGTTCATCTGGGCCAGAGTTCACACTGGCCAACCAGATGCCTATGAAAGGCCTCAAAGCAGGACAAGAGTGCAATAGCATTCCGATGCTTTTGATCCCCAGCAACGTTCCTTGATTTTAGACAGCTTCCCTGTTTTATAACTTTAAGGTTGCAATCCTATACAAACTTGCTTGCCAGCAAGTACTAAATTTTACTGAACTCAATGGGACTTCCAGGTAAGCATGCCTAGAATCAGACTGTAACTCAAAGCTGTTGCTTAAAAAACAAACCAACAAGAATATATACTTCTAATATATTTTATACCAGCAAACTCTCCTTAAATTTTCACAACATATGAAGCAGTAGGAAGTAAGAAATGAAGTCTGCAACCCTAAGAGGATAGGTCTAGCACTTTAGAGACGCTCAGGACAGGTTAGGTCAGAAAGGACAGTCTAAGAAACTTGGAGTCTCTACCTGCTCTTTCCCTTGGAGACACATCAAACTAAGTTGCATCTCTACACTTCCAAGAACTGCCCCCTTTCACTTCAACAGGATGTTAATTACAAGGTTTATAAATTTAACATTTGTACAGTACCAAAAAAGTGAACTCCATTCACTCAGGAAACAAACATCTAATCTAATGCAGTGATAAATTTTGCAGTGTATGTACATAAAGTCTTATTTCAAGAGACATTTACAAAATTATTTATTCAACTGATACTCAGATGTACATGCACTTGTTTAAAAGCCAAATCTCCATATTTATCAATACGCAAACATCACCTTTACTCTAAGCAGCTCAAGGTGGCATACATGGATCAGGCTGGCTCAAGGTCACCAAATGAGCTTCAAGGCCAAGTAAAGATTTGAAGCCTGGTTTCCCAGGTCCTAGTCCCACTTTCTAACTACTACATTAAATTGACTCTTATAAACACAGCTATTTTTATCCCTTTTTTAGTCTTCCCAAATAATAGCTCTCACACACCTGTTAACAATTCATGACTGGCCTAAGTGATCAACTCCTATGCCTTCATCTGCTTTATATGACACGTAAATTCAATTTTTTTAAACCTGAGAAATAAACTGACATGTCTACTCCCCATGTATAGGCCTGCAGCCTAAATGTACTGCAGTCAAAAAAATATCAGAAAGAAAAAACCCGACAACTTATAACAATGCATGACACCATTGATAAGACAATGACTTTTTCCCATTTAACTAACCTGCTATAAATCATGACAGCTTTTGTTGATCCATAACTAATGGTAACATAGCATGCCATTAATCAATGCAAGTTAAAACTCTCAAAATTTGTCAAGCATAAGTCATATATTCTGAATAACTGAGGCTCCATTTATATTAGTCACCTTCCTGGGACAGATAAATCCATTTTTTGCAGATTTCCAATTCCTTCTCATTTCTGTCGTAAACTTACTAAAGTCTGCCGGTATATATTCATTCATCTTACCTTGTAGCAAATGCAGGCTGCACTTCATGAGGGTTGCGGCGGTCAGACCAGAAAAACAGCAATCTATCAAACTTAGGTTCAATGTCAGCAAACTGGGCTTTGCCTTCAGGAAATATTCGAAGAATACCTCCACTTACCTTAAAAGACATAAACAGTGCTTCACAATCAAAGATGCTATCAGCAATTTCAATGTACTAATAGCACCTACATATAGCTTCCTTTTAACTCAACTATTTCTATAATAATTAAAGCAGACAGTAAGATTTCCTTCCCACAGTGATCCAAATAAAAATAAGTTGCACTAATGAAACTTTTTTTTGAGGTTCATAAGTTGGCTCTATAAAATGAACTAGCACAGACTGAAAAATCATTCAAACAATCAAAATGTCTCAGATTTTTGTAACATACATTAATGAATGTGTTTTAGTGTATATTTAGATAATCAATATTAATAAAATGGAACATTTGCAAAACCAAAAATTACTGTTTTATGAGAAACAAAATTTCTGTGCTGATATTGTTAACTGCATACAAATTCTGAATGAGTGGTCCACAGAATGAATATAAATACCACCTTTAAAAATATTGAATAATGTAGGAACTCCTTCACTGGGTTAAATTAAAGACCCCATCTAGTCCAGTATTCTGTTTTCACAGGAAGTAGAACCGGGGTACAACAAGCACTCTCCCTGGATTTCTGACAAGCAACTAGCTTAGCTGAGTTTCAATTGGGGCAATTACCAGCCACTAGTCTAACCAATTTCTATACTTTGCCCAACATTCTCATAGTTCCTTGAAGTTAAATATGAACAATGAGGAGTCAACACCACAACAAATGGCTATCAAATTCCTGAAGAAGGAAATAAATTCTAGTCTTTCTCCAAAGCCGACCAGGGAGATCAGTGAATATATGATCTATACAGTGGTGCCCCGCAAGACGAATGCCTCGCAAGACGAAAAACTCGCTAGACGAAAGGGTTTTCCGTTTTTTGAGTCGTTCCGCAAGACAAATTTCCCTATGGGCTTGCTTCGCAAGACGAAACGTCTTGCGAGTTCTTGCGAGTTTGTTTCCTTTTTCTTAAAGCCGCTAAGCCGTTAATAGCCGCTAAGCCGCTAATAGCTGTGCTTTGCAAGACGAAAAAACCGCAAGACGAAGAGACTCGCGGAACGGATTAATTTCGTCTTGCGAGGCACCACTGTAATTTATTTTCACTATAGCAAATAAATATATTCTTAACAAAGTTGAAAGCGTCTCATAACCTTAGTATTAAAGAAGGCAATTCCTCACATTTACACATGAACTAGAAGAGTTGTTTCACATTTAACATTAGCATCAAAGCTACACAGAAGTTTACTGCCATAAAAACAATAAGCGGGATCCAAAGAGCTACTTGAGGTGCATTTAAAACTTTCAGCATGACTAGTGTGATTTTTGACAGTTTTCTAAGGAAAGTATGTTTTTAGATCCTAGCTGGAGTGGAAGGGAGACCAAACACTAGGTGAGGTGCCCTGGATATAGGATCGGATGCCACTTCAAAGCATATGTTTACTAGGTGTACAAGATATTGCTTTAAAAGGCATGACACATTAGAAGAAGAAGAGTTTGGATTTGATATCCCGCCTTTCACTCCCCTTCAGGAGTCTCAAAGCGGCTAACATTCTCCTTTCCCTTCCTCCCCCACAACAAACACTCTGTGAGGTGAGTGGGGCTGAGAGACTTCAAAGAAGTGTGACTGGCCCAAGGTCACCCAGCAGCTGCATGTGGAGGAGCGGAGACGCGAACCCGGTTACCCAGATTATGAGACTACCGCTCTTAACCACTACACCACACTGGCTCTTATTCAAACCTGTAAAAAAAAAACCCTCTCTAAAATAGAATTACCTTGGCATCCCAGTCTTTATTAAGGTAATATATACATGTGACACATCTTCCATCTCCATTTGGATTATCAACATGGCGCACATATCCTGTTCCATTGCCTGGATAACAAGCCACCATTGCCTGTAATAAAAATAGAACAAAACTAGCATAAGACTGTTGGCTACAATAGTATGCTTCTTTCAAGCCAAACTTCAGGGAGAGGACTTTGAGGGTGCCAGGAAAGGCCCCTCTGAGAACATGGACCTGCAAGAACGACATTCACAACTCCTGCTTTATGCAATTAAACCTCATGTCATGCCTAATGATTAGCATTCCAAAGCCCTGGGAAGGGGAAGCACCAAGTAGGAAGCTCTAAAACGGGTCAGCAAGGTTTACCGCGCCTGGGCTGGTTCACTCCAGTGGAGATCCCTCCATGGGCTCCATGAGCGTGTGATTTCTGGTGTCTGCATCTGCACAGACACGATTTCTGGCACCGCGGAAGTGAGTCCCTGCGTCGTGCCAGTTTAGCACAGCGTGCGGGGACTCGCCGAGTGGGCGGCTCAGTTCGAGGTCGGCTCAGGGGCCGGTTAAACGACCCCCGTGGGCTGCTTGTGGCCCATGGGCCTTAGGTTGCAGACCCCTGCTCTAGAAAGTGGTTATAAATTAGCAACCCATTTCTCATTCATTTAAAACTGGCAGGCTGATTCCAGTACCCATTTATTTAGAGGGGGAAGGTGCTGGAATACCTCACCCTTTGAAAATCCAGAGAGCATAAAGGAAAACACGTTTTACACACTTCTGTTGTTTTTGTTTTCTGTTATGTCCCAAATACACAAAAGGGTTAAGGAGTCATTGTAGAGATAAACCTGGAGATAAGTGCACCTTCTTACCGTTTCAGAAATGGTTGACCATCATGTTTACTAGAATACAAGATCAAATGAACAGTCAACAAAGCTATTTCCTAGGGGTCAGTAAATATCTTGCTTTACAGTCATGTAGAATTCATGTAGCCCTATTAGATTTAAGTAATTTTGCTGTAGTTAATACATTGTTGAATACAAAACACTAGCCCTTTTCTACTGTATCCCCCCCCCCAAATGTCCAATTCTTTGTGATAAGAATTAAATATCCCACTAGATTTAAAATAGGCGGGGTGAATATTTCATAATGCTTTTATTTCCACTCTTTTTTGCTAGCTATAACAAAACAAGCTGAAAAGGTTAAAGGTTAATAACAAGGAAACAGCTTGAAAGTAGATGGACATGAATTCACTACATGCTAAAGAGGAAGTGCTGGAATGAGCAGCTGCTACAAAAAGAGTATTTAAAAAAAATCTAGAAGAGACAGGTGATTATAGGAGCAAGCACAGGATGTATTAAACACAAATCCAAAGGAAACTAGTACAATAGTAATTGAAGAATACACCACTAGATGTAAACTAGAAGAGCTTGCCTGACTTTCAAAACTAGACCCATACCTTAAATAATGTTATTTAAATAAATTATTTAAATAATCAATATATGGGAGTAAAAACAAGAGACCAAGCAATTTTAGCAGGTTAAGATGCACTACTATCGTATTTTGCTCAGTGCAAATATAAATGTGATGTGAATTTAGATTATCAGAACTTATTTTAAAGATACTAACTTTAAGGCAGGAATTCTATACACATGTACTTGGAAAGAAGTCCTAGTGAAACCAAGAGGGCTTACTCCAAGTAAACCTGCAGAACACAGGAGACACTTAATAAAATTTTAGCCTTGCTTAACATTCTATTGGATATAAGTCCATAGACTCTGGCCCTGATAAAATTATCAAATTATCATTGGATGACCTTGGTTCTAGTGTTATGAGAGAAACTTCTCTATCCACTTTCTCAACACTACAAAAATGTATCTTTTGGAGACAAGGCAAGAAGAACTGTGTGGTTTTTCCAAGTGTGATCCCACCACAGATTTCTGTAAAGGCCCCAGTAAAGCTGGCAAATGTTATTTTCATTCTTGCCTATAATGATCCTTAGCACAGAATCTATAGGTCAGAGCTTTTCAAACTTTTCATGCTGGTGACACCCTTTTTAGACATGCATCATTTCACGACACAGTAATTCAGGTTTACTAGCAAGCCGGAGGTTAAACTAACCCCTTTCCAGTCCCGGGAGAGGAGCAGGGAGTGTTTGCGCCACACACCTACACTCTGCAGCTGACACACTAACGTGTCGCGACACACAGTTTGGAAAGCTCTGCAAATCCACTGCACTCTTCACCACAACTCCTATCTCTCTTTCTCAGTTAAAGCTAGCTCATATCAGGGTAAACAGGAATACCCAGCGCCAGTCCAGAGGTGGAACACTGTCTGCAGTGAAATTCTCTGCCGCCGCATGGTTCTTACTGCCTGGGCTGAGTGCTCCTGAGCTCCTTCGTGGTTCCTCAACCTGCAAGAGCCTGCTTACTTGTCTCTCTGATTCTCAGGACGTGAACAGTAAGTCAGCAGGCTGCTACACCCTTCTCTCCCCAACGTGCTGCAAGCCTAGCCATCACAGATGCACTGCTGAATAAACAAACAAGATGTTATACAGACCTTTAGCTCAAAAGTGAAGAAATAGTGCTTCAATTCAAGTAAGCACAACTGAAGCCTTTAACACCCACCTAGAGAGGCTGGCTGAGAGGGAGAGGCATTCTCTACAATGGTGTCCTCTCCCTTTTCCTTCCTCCAACAGGCAGGCTGTTTATCTTTTGTAATATTGTACAATGGTTTTTGCCTTCAGGTAGGCTCCTAGTCCAATCTCTGTCCAATGCTTCCTAGGCACAGGGCCTGAACAAATCCAAAAGACAGATATCATTCCAAATATTGGTTTTATTATATGAACTCATTCTAATTCAATCTGGTTCCACTGGATGCAGTAAGTTTACCCATATTCTGAACCCCTCTTTTTTCTAGATCTTTTCAGTGTTTATTTGTTGATTTATTGTGTAATTGTGAGCTTTTGAAATTTTTAAAAACTCAATATATATATACATTTTTAAAAACTTTGTACGAAACCAAAGACTCTTCAGATGGTGTTCCTGTTTGGGGGAGGAAACGCTTCAAATATTCTTTCCTCTTTTACTTCTGTTTTTTTATTTTATTCTTATTCTGGTTCAGTTTGATTTCCTGCTATCAAGTTGATTAATTGACATTTCTACAGAAGACATAAGAAGCAATCCTATGGATGCTAAGACTGCAATCCTATAAATGTTCACCTGGCAGTAAAAAACCCTGAACTCACTTCTGAGTACACATGCATAGGATCACACTATTACAAGCCTCATTGAACTCTGTTGGACCTGCTTTCAATAAATGTGCCCAGGATAGGGCTATTAGTATATTTGATAATAATAATAATTTATTATTTGTACCCCGTCCATCTGCTGGGCTTCCCCAGCCACTCTGGGCGGCTTCCACAAAGACCAAAAATACACTAATATGTCATACATTAAAAACTTCCCTGAGCAGGGCTGCCTTAAAACATTCTAGATGATATAGAGTAACCAAACACAATTTAAAGCAGGAATTATAGTATCTGTTGGAAGCTGAACAGGGTTTAGTTAGAAGGAAGAAGCTGGGGCAGAAAGCAGTCCTGATGTAGAGGCTGGAGGTGGGGGGCAGGAGACAGGGGTGAGGCAGGCTGCTGAAGAATCCAGGGAGTCTCCCTCTCCTGCTGTGACCAGCTTCCTACACCTGGTCAACCAGAACAAGCAGAGAAATGAAAAGAGCAGAGGAGAGATTAGGTGTGCGCAGACACAATCTCCAATTGCTTGGGGAAAACCCTGCAGAGGAGGGGACTTAGGCAGCTGTGGAAAAGTGGGGACCTTCAGTCTTTGCAGCTGCCTCCCTGGGGCAAGACCTACTGGGAAGAGTAGCTGAGATCACTAGGCTTTCACTGTTTTTGGTTTCTTTGAATAAGGAGTTAACTTCGCCGACACCAGTGTTTTTTATTGCTGACCTACACCTGACTCCGGCTCCTGATATATGCAAACCTTAAACTGTAGTCCAATTTAACCATGGTTTGCTGAAACAAATCAGCTTCATAAACCATGGTTTGTAGCTGGCATTTCTCAACACAGAATTGTTAGGATAAATCATACCTTCTTGTTTTGTCTGGACCTATCAAACAGCAGTTAATAGAAAATGGAAGTGAAAGCTTCCAGTCTCCTCCATGCAACCGTGCAAGGGAAGAGGAGTGGTTGAGAAAGCAAGGCCAAGGCACACTGTAGCTCATTCCTGCCATGATAAACCATTATGATGCCCAAACTGGCTTATACTGTTCACATGCTCCTAATGTGTCAAAATTAGTTTGCTTTTAAAATTTGAGAAACACATTTATAGAGCAGACTATATCTGATAACTCACGCTTTCTCCCATCTATGATTTTCAGTTGCTTATAAAATTGGGATTTTCAATTTGCACAACTGAATAAAATACTATATACAAAAGTATTCCACTTCCTTTAAAATCCACATTTTGTACCACACACCCTTTATGTCAAAATAAGCAGGTTTCCTTCCCTGTAGAGAACAGCTACAAGGCCTTTTCCTGTCAGACACTGAACAAGCATAGTAATGGCTTAAACAATATGACATTTCACCAGCTGTGTGAGGCTAAAACAGCAAACTTACTTCATGAATTTTCTGCAAAACAATTGCATTTTCTATTCAATATTACAAGTTAATAATTATTTTCAGTAATATTATGAATTGTAAAGCCCTTGTCATTGTTTCTGTGATTTAAATTGTGTGACTTTTTATTATTATCAACCAATTTGCAAGGAAGATTGACTCAAAGAAGAATATTGTGACATAAAAATAAAAGGACTCAAGACTTAATAAAACCTGTGTTAGATGCATAAATAGTTGTCTTCATGCTTCTAGGACCCTCTCTTGCAGTTCTGATAGGAGGTATCACCCCTGGTTCACAGAAGACACCTGTTGCAGCAGAAGTGGCTTAAGGCCCTCACCAAATACAGAATTAAGCCCATTTTAAGAACTTTGTTGCCATGGCAAGGGAGTGGGAGAGAAAGCAAGACTCTTTTTATCAGCCTGCCTGGCTCAAGTGACATCTAGAGCCTCCCCCCTCTTGGACTCCATCAACGGCAAGCCACTCTG